CTATTCCAATGGTGACTCCTGAGATGCGGACATTTGACTAGTGTGATCATGTGTGATCTGGTTATTCCTCTTGTGTATATCTTCTCTTGGCGCTGCTCCTGCTGCTCAGCTTCGGTTGTTTTGCTCCTGCTTACATTCTGCATTTTCAAAGGCAGTTTCTTCTGGAGATTTGAAGGAACAATTGTCCCGCATGCCGGCTGATCATGTTTGTTGGTAGGCGGAAAATTGTTTGTACAGCTTTGTTGACAATGGGAACGCATGGCGCGGTGCATTGCAATCACTCTCGCTTGTATTCAGCTCTTTTTTCCGTTTCAATTCAGATTCATCAGATTCGTTGTTTCATGTTGTTTCCTTTGACATCTGACATGTGCACTTGTAGATACTTGTAGGCTGGTGCCACCTCTTCTTGGGGAAACCAATCGAACTGGAAGGCGTTTCTGGGCAGACCGGTGACCACAGGTGACCAGGAACACACCAAGACTTTCAAAGTTGCAAATGGTGTCGGGTGACATCAAGTGACCATTATCAAACGACGACTTTTTAAGCAATTTGTGTCAGGCATTCCACCATGCGTTGATAAGTTGATAGCCCTAGAGATTGGATTCAGGTCTTACACTCATCATGGTTCAACATATGTACCGCCAAATATGTGCATGTATATGCACAGATATATATATATATATACCTTGAGTCTCGTGGAACCTTTTTTTTTTGCGTTTACACTTGGGTCCTTATATTTCTGCGTTTTCCTTAAAAAAATGTTTTTTTGAAAAAAAAAGGTTCAGCAAGACTCAAAGCATGTCACCCAATATTGGTTGAACAAATGGATTGTGATACAATGTTGGTTTGGTGGATCTTTGGATGTTCACCCTGGTTGGAAATGACGATCTCTTTACAGTGGGCCATGAATAGTGCTTCATGTTGAAACCATTTGATTGGAATAATCACACAATGTCAGATATTGATAATGCACAATATAATAAATCAGAATGACAACAGTAATAATAATGATAACAAACATGATGGTTCACGCGAATTGATCAGAGAACATGGCAATTCAGGTCATTGTTAATGATAACGAACATGGTAATGATCACTGGTGATGATAACGGTCATGATACTGAACCACCAACAAAAAGATACATTATAAAATGTTCTGAATGATCATCAAAAGATTGGAATGATAATCATTAGCATGAAATGGCATCAACCCCCTGTAGTATCGATCCCATTTATTTTTAAGGGAATGTTAACCCATGGCCCCGCCACGCAGCCAAGCTGAATCTGAAGCCGGCTCAATGTTGAGACCTTCGTCGGCCCCCAATCAGCCACCCGCAACTTGGACTGAAGTTGCATCCTTTTTCAGTTTCCCTCGCATCCTTCATATTCAAACCAATATTTGATCAACATTCTTTGGATAACTCTTAAAGTTACCGATGATGGGTGAACACACCGAGAAAGGCGTGCCACTTTCCCTATAAAATCCTCATCAGCTTCGCAGCTGTGGGCTGCAGGGCTTAAAATTGGCCCTGAGGCAAACCTCAACTCAAAGTAGAAATGGAGGAAATGATGCAAAGATGGTTCCAAATGGAAACGGCAAAGCTGTAGCCGGAAAGTCGAAGCAGCCAACTTCGCGTAGTCAGAGCAAAATGTAAAACACCCCTGGGCCATTCGGCTTGACGTATTTGGCTCCAACCAAAGCCCAGATGAATGTAGCAAATGAAAGAATACCAGGACACCAGAGCAAGCATCGGACACCAAATGCATCAACTCAGAATGAGGTTGCCCCCGTCCAAACAAAGGTACGCCAGGCCTCGTGATGTCGTTCTCGAAAACGCACCCATTGTTCATGAGGTGTTTCAACCAACGAACCAGTAACATAGTGTCACTGCCCTTGAAACGGCCAAAAGGAAAAGAATAATTGTTAGGAAAGTGTAGGATCTGCCGTGTGAAACGCTTGATGTTGGGACGGACAAGACCCCTCCACTCGTGTTTCACCCAGAAATTGAAATCAGCATACAAACGGTCAAGGATGTTCTCAACACTGTTGTTGGTCGCCTCAAAGTAGAATTGTAGGTCCACCATCAAGATGAGGCATGATGCAACGAAGTGCCCGCCCATTGTTTGTTTAAAGATGTGAAATGGATCCTTCAGGAAAAAAGTCTCAGACTGAAATGGTTTGTGAGGTATTTGCACCAGCGGACTTGCCTGGTTCCACGGAACCTGTGCATGCAGAGTAGCAAGCCATGCAGGTTGAGCACTCACTTCTTCAAAAGGGTAGGCATTTAGCCCCGCTAGGCATTCAAAACAGCACCCCTTGTTCTGACCCAAATTTGCAAATGAACGCGTGAAGTTTCCTGCTTTTGCCTGGGCTGGCTGGTCGGCTTTGAGACCAAGACAAACCATGTAATACTTTTGGCCAAAAATAACGATGCCAGAGTTGAAAAGTTCAACGCACTCATCAGCAATCTTTTGCAGCATGCCAGCATACACCCTTGAATTCAGTCTTGAATACCATTTCTTGGGAATTGCCGTGAAAAGGAAGCGGCTTTTGTATGTTGATCCAGCAGCGCTATGGTTCATAGCCTGTGTCATTACTTTCCTCATGCTTTCCATTGTACGATCAGTTTGTTGCATGAGCTTGTGCAACCGATCCAACGTGTCAGCTCCGAAAAGGGTTTGCACTGTCAAAACCAGGATTGCAGATTTACGTAGCGATGTTCCCTCATCCATGTGCAGATAGAAGGGGATACATCTACTCAATTGTCCTTAGGTCAGGGTAAAACTGAGGGTCCCAAAAGTAAATAAAGATAATTAGTGTTAGACACAAAACATACATATCAAAAACATCTTTGTTGGGGAATGGCATTGTTTTGAAACTTTAAACCTCTTGTGAGTCATTGAGGGCCAATTTATACCGTTTGAAAGGGGTCCATTAGAAAACAACATGCTTGAATACGATGGATTGACAAAATTTATCCAAGTTGTTATAGTATACACCTCTTTCAAAGTCAAGACTCCTTGATGGATAGTATATACCACGTGGTCACTATGCGTGTGCCGGTAATTTTCCCAGAAAGTTGACAATAGCATTCCCACCTTGGAGCCATCATCCAAGGAAATACCACCCAAAAACATCTTGGAGTACCGCTTCAGCAGGAGTGGAAACCAGGAAAATAAACTGATGTAATGGATGAACAGCAAGCCAAACCTTGAATGGCTCCGAGACAGCAAAATAAAATCATAAGTTACTTCTCACTCACTTTTCCTAGGCAATGGCAAATAACGGCAAATCTCGTTCAAGCACTCTCAAAACCCCAACGAGCAGTTGTATATGACAAGGGGCTTCTCACAGCTGGGCTTAATAGGCAAAGTCAAGCCCATTCTACCAAACAACACATGCAAATCACGCTCCGCATTCCGAATGCTCTTCACATTGCCAGCTCTCCGCAACGCACCCGAATTGAGGTAACCCTCGTCAATGGCACTCTTGGCGAACTTTTTGCATCGGCTCGCAGGGACCTCAGCGGGAACCCTTGCCGGATATATGATCTGGGATTGACGGGTTATTTAAATTACTTTACTTCGTGTGATCCCCACCATGACATTTATCGATTTGTTACTGGCAAATCTTCTGGCATTCTATCTGACATATCTTCTGGCATTCGATCTGGCATATCTTCTGGCATTCTACCTGGCATATCTTCTGGCATATCTTCTGACATCCTATCTGGCATATCTTCTGACATCCTATCTGGCATTCTATCTGGCAAATCTTCTGGCATTCTATCTGGCAAACATTCTGGCACTTTATCTGACATACCTTCTGGCATTCTATCTGGCATACCTTCTGGCATTCTATCTGGCATATTTTCTGGCATATGTTCTGGCATTCTATCTGACATGCTATCTGACGTTCTATCTGGCATATCTTTTGGCATTCTTTCTGGCCGTTGAGGTCCAGCGGTGCTCACTGAGCTCGGAAGGTCCCAGGTTGAGGTCCAGCGGTGCTCACTGAGCTCGGCGGGTCCCAGGTTGAGGTCCAGTGCTCACTGAGCTCGGAAGGTCCCAGGTTGAGGTCCAGGGGTGCTCACTGAACTCGTCAGGTCCCAGGTTGAGGTCCAGCAGTGCTCACTGAGCTCGGCGGCTCCCAGGTTGAGGTCCAGCGGTGCTCACTGAACTCAGCAGGTCCCAGGTTGAGGTCCAGCAGTGCCCACTGCGCGCGGAAGTTGGCGAAGAGCTTGGCAAAGAGTTGGCAAGGCGGAAGTCGACATGGAAGTGGCGGAAGTGGACCTGGAAGTGGATGCAGAGGTGGTGGAGGAGAAGGAGGAGAAGGAGAAGGAGAAGGAGAAGGAGAAGGAGAAGAACAACTCTGATAAAATCTAACAACCCTCACCTGGCAGGTGGGGAAAAAACCTTTGTGGAGAGCATCGCCCATGCCACTGAGCATCATACCCCTTCACCAAAAGAGAGGGCCAGGTTCCGAAGCATGAAGCCAGGTTTCTCTGGGCCTGGCCCAAGATGTTGTAAGATGTTCAATCAAAAACAAACGGTTTCAATCGGATCAGCCCTGGGTACAGCAGCTATTGCCCATCCACGGTTACATTTTCCCCAATCACTTGTTACAGTTACAACACAATGTGGTCCTTTCAGACAACACTATACCATGCTCTTCAAAACACGACGGCTGGTGAGAATCACATTGTACAAATCATTTTCGATCAGCCTCGCCACCCCATCACGGTTGTTCACGGGACTCTCACTTGGAGTCTCGCTCGACAAGCAGCTGCATGCATGGAAACATAATGACTAAGTGGTGATTCCAACATGGTCCCCAGGGCACACTAGTCACCATGGTCAACTATAGTCACTATGAACCAATTGTGGGGATATGATGGGATATGAATAATTATCATGTTTGTCTTGTTTCGTCCACAGCTGCGCCCTACATCGAAGAGCCAAAACTTTGAAGCCACTGAGTGGACTGGGCCTTGGGCAACTCATTTGTTCTTGCCCTTTCCCTTCCCACCACGTCGCACATAATGCTCGGTCTCAGGTTCAGCTCCTGCTTTCGCTTTGGCCTTGGCCTTGGCCTTGGCCTTCGACGAGGCCACAGAAGCCTTCGGCAAGGCCTTTGCCTTTGGCAAAGGAATCGATTTTGCCCTCGATTCAATCGTCAAGGAAAATTGGGACCTGGCACCAGGGGTTCAGCTGAATATGCGTTATTTCCCAAGGTATTAAAGACCAATGACAATGGGAATCTTTGTTATGTTCATAACCCCGGATCAACCCAAAGAAAGGTTATTTCTGATGAAAATGGTACCCCCTTAAAATGAAATATCCTAGACCCTTCAAGACCAAAAATGTAAAGGTACTAAAATTATTGGGTAAACATCGTTTTTTGGGTATACTTGGAAGGTCTAGGGTGATTCTTTTATACAAAATTCCAATCATTTGATCCAATTCTGAGACCCTTACTCCTTCATGGCGTCCTTGTACAGGGCCATCAGCTCCTGGTCCATCCTTGCGATTGGTGGGTAGGTTGAAACTTATCTGAAAATGGTCTGGTTAAATTAACTAACCCAATGTAACACAGTCAAATCCGTAGGTGATGAATGTAGAATTGGTCAATTCCCGAATGGCTTGATTGAAATTATAGTTGGTCATCGGGATATAGCTATCACATCACTCGATTTATTTGGAATGTGGCTAATGTAGCCTGGGTTCTTCTCAGTATATCCCTCAACAGGGCCAGCTGATTGGGATCTGCAGCCCCCATAATTCAACTAGTAGAATTGATACAATAGTCAGAACCCTTCCACTTCAAAACCAAGTTGCTGGGTGTGATGTGGTGTTTTCTCTTGGTCCGGGATGTTCTCGTATTTGCCCTTCAACTCCTTGGCAAATTATAACATCGGTAGAAGGTAACCCTTTATAAAATAAGACAACATCGGTATATTATAGATAATTCCAGTTTTGAATCAGCCGTATATTAAGTCAAATACAACTGGATATGGCTATGTTCACCCGATACCTACCCCATATTATGATATAACCGTTATAACCTTACATGGTCTCAGAAGTTGATGAAAGACTTGTGGATCACCGTTTTATTTGTTTGAAAGCACCACATCACTCACTTAACAAATCAAAGGCAAGGGTCCAGCATTTTGACCGACCTTTTCGACAAACCATCCATATACTTAAGGATGACGTCACTCGGTCGTTCATCCTTCAGCACTGCTGGAAACAAGACTTTTCCATCACTAGGTCTTTGAGGATTGGCAGGGGCCGGAAATCCTGCCAAGCAACCATGTTCAATGGAGGAAACAGGTGACCTGGGAATTGGCATTCTTAATCCCCAATTGGTTAAATAATTGATCTTTGCTGGACTGGTAGATGGTGAACAGGAGACACAAAACGCTACCAATCTAAAAACCGATTCATTCTCCTTCAGGGACAGAGGGTCCAGCATCCGGGGCAAACTCCAACCCGGTCAGGGAAGCACCCATTGCGTCCATCGCATTGGTATCAGTCTGGTACTCAGTTTCCTGACGAATCGATTTTGAGGACAGCTTCTCCCACTCGGCTTCCAGCTCCTCCTCCACCCAGTAGAGCTGCTTGTTCTCGTACTTGTCGAACCTATGTGTGCAATATGCATTGTATAGACATATTATATATCGATATATGATGGTATGATGGTATGACCGTATGATGTTGCTCAAACCAAACAGGCAAGTCTGAGCAAACATGGGTGGGATTACATAAAATGGTCATAGAAGAAACATAAAAGTCATCAACCTAGACACTTGCAGAGTTTGGGCTTGCCGGTGCAGTACTGGACAATGGCTTTGATCCTTGACCTCAGCTATTGTCAGGCATTCCTTTAGAAGGGAAATGGCCCCAATGCATCTCCATGTACATTTTTTCCGAATTAGTTAAGTGCTGGATGACGTATATTATATATATATATATATATCATATATAGGAAATGACAATATAAGAAGCACACTGGTGTTGCTTTAGTACAGGCAAGGTTCTCTTTCATATGTAAGTCATCACGCATCTTATCTTCCGATGCCCAGCCAGCCCAGCATTTGAACTTGACCTGTTCCTTCTGCTCGGACACGGCGGTAACCATGGAAACAAACCGCTCCTGCGCACAATGAGGTGCCAGTGCCGATTGCGACATGGACATCCACGTTGCACTATGGACCTAAGATCTAAGGACCTGTGGGAATTGTGGGGCTTTGGGTTGGATGCTGTTTAGACCTTTGAACAAAACGGTGATTGATCACACTTGTTCTCTACAATGTTCTATGTGTAAGTGTTTGGTTTTGAGAAGGACTCCTGTTAACCTATGAAGGTGAATTATCTAAGTACGATTTTTCATTCTGCAGGGGCAAGAGCTCAGATTGTTTGTGTTAACGCACTACCCGTTGCAATATCCTTGTCGAAGCCAGAATCAACAAGCATCTTCAAGAGCTTGGTCTTGGATCTTCCACCCTCCATGTACATTTTGTGGATTTCCTCTGGAACCTGCAGAGTCCTGAGAAGCACGGGTCAAAGGTTTTCAGCTACCCCGGGCATCCCCCAAATTCATCCAAACATGTTTACAAAACAGGTTTCTGTGTCTTATGTATGGATTTTAAGAAAGCTTCTTGGGTATGTTTCAAATTTGACGGCCCCAATTAGATATAACTTGATATTCCAAGGGTCACCTCATTTTGAATCATACCCATCTATATTATTTGTTTCACTCTATAAGAATCCCATCAGCACCACGCTTACAGAGCCGCCATAGACGTTTACGGGCAGCTTCATCGGTCAAAGCACTCTGGTCACTTTGTTGGGTGGTTGGAGGTTCAGGCCCCACATCCATCTTAAGATTGGCAATCTCAGCTGACAAGTTGTCCCGCTCAATACGGAGATCTTGTGCCTCGTGTTCAAGGGCACTAACCTTTGCACGCAGCTGTGTGATTTCGTCAGTGAGTTTAGACTCCTTGTCTGGATTCCCTCCGGTATCCCCATGAGTCGGAGGTTCAACCTGTAGGGTTCAGGATGGTTTAGGTGTCCAAGATGTGATATTTGTAAATCTTGAGGTTGAAACAGAAAGATAATTGAACCAACATTTTACTTTTGTATCACACCCCTTTCCTTGTTGAAATCAGCCATCAAGCTCCGCCCCTCGCCAGGAGCGCTCGCAGCGCGAGGCTGCTCACCATCGACTTTGCCAGGAGTTTCTATGTGCAGACCTGGGCCAACGGGATGGAAGACAGGGATATGTCTGGATTGGAAGGGAACTAACAACACTAAATCAAATATGATAGTATAACTTATAACTTTAAAACATATATAGAACATCACAATATACTCATAGGGAAAGCCTTGGTACGGCCTTTCTTCAGCAATTTGGCGGGGCTTTGCGAAGATGTTTGCACAATAGAGGCTCGCTTCGAGATCAAGTCCTGAAGGATTGGGAAAAACAATTGACCATCTCCAAGAATAAGTCAAACATAAGACCTGATTCTTGTGTTTTTTTCTACTTTTTCCGGCTGCCGAAACTAGGTCCTTCAACTCTCGTTCCATTTCTTGTTTATCCTCGTCCTTTTCCAACTTGACCTGTTGCTGATCCATTTCATGAAGACCATAAAGAAGGGTTTCCGATGAGAACGTTTTGCTCTCCATGGGTTTGGATTTCCGGCCAACGGCCTGACCACTTTTGACAGCCAATACCCTAAGACTGACACAACCAAAATGCTGCAACCGATAGATACAAAGTTATCGTCATCATCATCATCATCCTCATCATCATCATCATCATCATCATCGGCGCCATCATCAACATTATCATCATCGTTCATTTTCCACCATCAGAGGTACTATGTACTATCACAACCACTGGATCCGTCAACCCCATCCACCCTATCTTGGGTACAATGGTTTCACTGTTTTGCTTTAAATGGTTCTAGTGGACTGTTTGAAACTGTGGATGCACAATTCTTTACATCTGGGTTCCCCAAATCTTGTGTGACTTTTTCACTCCTAGTCATGACAATGGTAGTTTCCCCAAAGGAATCAACTTGTATCACCCCAAATGGAACATATTTGTTTAAGGGTGGCACTGTCCTAGGACCCACCATGTTCAAAAAAAAACCATGTGGGCCCAGTCCAATCTCAGCTTAGAATTAAATTTATGGGGACTAGTCTCATTAAAACCCATCGGTGGCTTGATGATGCCCCAGCTTTTTCAAAACCGGCAATCCAATGTCATGAGAAGGACGTGCCGATGGCTTCGCTGCTGTTGCACAATCGTCACTCAGACGCAATTACGAATTAACCCTTAGCCAGGCAAAGGTTTCCTAAGACAAGGTTCTCTTGGCCATTCTGGCCGAAGTTGCCCCAACAGCCCTTCCAGCATTGGATGTGATGCAATGAATGTATCATGTGACATTTTCTTTATCCCTTTGTTACCACACCACACTCCTCACACTCACAATCCATGAAGGGATGTAGGTAAAACCACGAGGGCATCTAGGTCCAAACGGTTTCTTCTCCCAAATCTGTGTTTTTTCCAAAAAAAGGTGCAGCTAGAAAATATCCCCGGACGCGTCCGGACCGGACGCCTAAAGACGCCTTTCGGACGCCAAAAGACGCCTTTCGGACGCTGTCCCTTGATGTCCATACCATCTAAAATCAAAAAAAGGTGCAGGGACCAAGGTACCAAGTCTGATGGGTATTTTACATTGGCCATATTTGTGCCAGAGAATTAGATTTCGATTTTTCGGGGAGTTGGTCTGGACCTTTATTGGAGCCCGTCTAAAATCACAGGCCTCCATTCACTTGGAATTTGGAGCCTCTTACTTCCTCGCAGATACCTCAGAACACTCATCATGGATGCGTCCTCCCATAGGTCTCCCCATTCCATAGACGCGTAAAGAGCAATCAATGGTGAAGTCAAAGACACCTGGGCATTGGGCAGGTTGGCCAAGGTTTTCCCTGGGAATATCATTTTACATGGATGTGATGGTAACCTGTTCCAACAAGTCTAGCAGTTTAGTAGAATGTCAATTTGGAAAGTTCCGTTCTAAAATGGTAACTCCTTTTTCCCACGAAAACATGAACTTCACCCTTAAAGTATTCTCCCTGGGTGCCACCCCAAACCAGGCATATTTATGATTCTATGATGCTCCAAGGCTTTTGCTGTAGTACCGATAGTCAACCACTTTGTTTTACACAGTCTTTCAGTATGTGATTTTTTTGCACTATTGAAGAGTTCAAAGTTGGTGCCACAGCCAAGTTATTTTTCCAGTCACAGCAGGGTCCACTCACACACAGAGTGCAGACCCCACTGGCAGCGGCGCCTGAGGCATGGGGTTGATCTCCTCTGGCTTCTCTGTGGACATCTCAAGGAGCTTTCCGATGTAGGGCCAGGGATATAACCTGTCAGCTGGGAAAGATCCAAAATGCAGGGATCATTTTTTTGACCCTTGCCCTCAACCTTGAAGTGTCTATACTGTAAATTGACATCTGGGAAACTAAAGAAAAGAAGTAGAATTGTAAGCTGAGAAACTGTGTTCCCTTCAAATTCGCATTTCCTTTGAACCTCTTACGTCCATCTTGACTTTCATACCGGTCTGTTGTGGACACCTCAGAGTACAATTCCTTTCTCTTCATCGCGCCTGAATCCAAAGACTTGATTAAATGGGAGTTGGAGAGTACGTAAGTCCTCTTCGCAGTGACATGACCCCAAGCTTTCATCCAGAAGTCCTGGTAGAAGACCTGAGCTGCAAATCAATACAAGTTTGCTGGTGGAATTTTAGTCTTGAGTGTCCCAACATAACCCAAATTATCTGCATTATATAAAGAAATCTTGGGCAACCACATGCTTATCAGGTAAGACACTTTCATGCCGAACTGTTGCCAATGTCGGACCAACCATCTAAAGCGATCATGGCGTGTCAGTAAGCTCGAGGACGGTTGTTCAAGTACAAAAAACCCTCCAACTGCTTGAACTAATAGAAGTAATAATATTGTCCTCAAAGGGCCAAGAAACAGATTGGGTTCAAAATCATCCGAATGATTCATTACCTTGACGAACTGTAGCCCATAGGGTGTTTAAAGTTTAGCCCTAAAAACTGGTGATAAGTTCGGAACATCAGAGTCTACAACTCTACAAGAGTACGAGGGCATGACATGGTATGGCGTGGTGCGGTATGGATGCTGAACATACTTTGTTTCGGTTGAAAAACCCTGCAATCCTACTAGCCATTCGGTTGGAGAGGGCCACTTTCTCAAAGTCCGGATTGCCCATGGGACATATGAAGCTGCGGCCTGTAGATCCTCTTGAGGCTACCACCCAAGACGAACAAACAATTCCCCAGCTCGTGAATACCTCTTCGAATTTCCCTTGAAGGATCCCGAAGACGCAAAGCCTCAGAGCCAACCAGCCAACCAATAGATTGGAACTAAAAGAGAACCAATAGAGGTTGAACATGGTTGAACGCCTTCAACATCGAATCCCAGAACGAACCATGCGATTTATTTTAAAAGCCTTTCCACGATGCTGGCATGGAATGGCCACAATTGACATAATTGAGAACAATTGGGTGTTTAATTGTTTATCCCATTGGTTTGTGCCCCCAGAACCTTGCTGCCATACCTGGAAGTTATAAAAAAGGAAACACAACCACTCCAGAAGAATGATGTTGTGGTCAACCAAAAATCAAAACTATTGATTTCCAACTTCCCCCAATCAAGGTGGCAACCAGCCCCGCATTGTGAGGATAAGCTACGAGAATCCAGCATCGGTGTTGATGTCAAATGCATGGGACTCAGCATAGGTAATGTCGAATGCGCAGGAGGTGTGACCTCTGGGGCAAATTGAAAGCAATACCAAGTCCATTTATTATTTTGAAATTCATTGACATGCTTTTCATTTTTTTGGGGGGAATTGCAACCCAGACCTAGTGTCCGCCCACCGCGGGCCAACCGCCCAGCTCCAGCATAGAAGTCCAAGATGGTGAACTTGTTCTCGAATGAAAACACGTCCAGGAAAGTCACCAGGAGTGTGCATGCTACTAGCACCTTTGGAACTGTGGGGAACCAACCCCCTAACCGCAAACAAAACCATTGAGATCCCTTTCAAAACATAGAAACCGCATAAACCATAAGCTCATTGAAAGTATACCGTCAGGAAATAGGCACAACAGACTATGTTTGACATATCTTATCGGTTCTTCTCTAGCTTTGATCCCACCCCAGAAATCAAGTACAATGATTGTTGCCAATTACAATCAAGTATATGGAGTTCATTGGACTCATGTACCCCCAATCCCCGAAAGTGACATTAATTTATATTACTTTTAGTAGGCCTACCAAATTGCATTTTGGGATCAAGTCCTTGGTTAGAAAATGCAGTGTTGTGTTAAGCAAAGTAAGACACCTTGGGCGCTCGCATGCCCATTAACCGCCGGATCACAGTTGGAAAATCGGATTCCAGCACCATGGTGTTTCAATACTGAAGTAGCGAGGGTGAGCAAAATGCTGGTTTTTGGAGCGGGCAATGTCATTGAATCGCATGGGCCTAAAAGGTTTCATGATTGGATAGTATTGTTGGATTTGGATTGAATGATTTTTGGATCCAACAACAACTTACCCAGTGTACACACTGACAATCCAAAACAAGCCAGCCCTGCGCTCATCTTCAACGAGGCCAAACCTTGCCAGGTAAGAGACCTCAGACGAACAGGAGGCAGGGGCAGGGATGGACGGGACTTCCAAGGATTTGTGGATTTGAAATTTAGGAATCTTGAAATTTGTAGATGCTATTATACTTGGTTGGTGAATTGCCTGTTCGAATGGCAGCTAGTGACCTTGAAGGTATGCTTGAACCATTGGATCCTAAAATGATCTAAAGTGAAAACAAACTGTACGCACAAACGCAAATCTTTCCTCGCACATTGAAATCTTGACCTTGTTGCTAAAGGTGGACATTCCCCTATAGTCCTACCTGAGCCCCTGCTGGCAGTGTTGCAGCAGCATGCTGCAAGCCTAAGCCTAGCATTCGACCACATCATAGAAAGTCCGCACTTGGGACAAATTTCGCACACTTCAAAAACACCCTACAGGTTTTCCCATAGGGCTTCCCCGGCTGGCAGCCCACAAAGATCTGCACTCAGCTTAAATGCCAAACGAAATCAAAATATAGCTTTGGTTATTTTCCGAAAACCGGTTTTATATTTTTATATAATATCATGCTCAAAGTTTCAACATTACAGTAGTGGGCTACATGCGGAGAAAACGCATCTAACGCAAACTTGCTTTCAGCTCCGTGAACTTGGCTTGGACCTCTTCGGCCGCATAGTTGCCGCCCGCTGCATCCACCAGGGTAGCCTCAAGAACATAAGAAACAAATTGGGTGGAATAAGTAGCAATGCTCCAGCTTTGGAAAATTACCCCAAAATCATTGGAACATGTTGGCTTTCTGGGTGGGCTATGTTAAAGACCCGTACTTAATATATGGAATATTGTCTGATGCTACTGTGAAATATACATTTTTCAGATATAGGGATGGCAGCATCATATGCAAAACGAGAAGCAATCTCCGCACTCACCGAAATCAGCTCCTTCATGTCATGCTTCTTGCTGGCAATGTAGAAAGACTGCGCAACGCGGGTGGTGGGGAACAAACTTTGGAAAGACAATTGTACACCTGAAAATTGTAAGGAACATAGCATTACCAAGGGAAATAAATAGGGAAATAAATAGGGAAATACATAGGGGAATAAATAGGGAAATAAATAGGGAAATAATTAGGGAAATCAATAGGGGAATAATTAGGGAAATAAATAGGGAAATAATTAGGGAAATAAATAGGGAAATAAATAGGTCAATAATTAGGGAAATAAATGGGGGAATAAAAAAAAACATCATGCATGTTAACATTATGATAGCATCAACATCGGTATCATCCATTTCTATGTCCAGTGGCTATTTTTGAAAGAAGGTGTTGGTGAAGGGATCCGGCCTGGGTGATATGCGATGGATTGTCCAACTCTGGCATCTTCAAGGCACATGCATTGCGGGACCAGTAAGGAACAATGGTGGCATAGTTGAACTCGGGGATCTCAATCTCAACTGGATGGGCCTTTTTGCCCCTAAGTTTTTTTGCGGGGGCTGCAGCATCCTCAGCATCAGCACGGGGGCCCTCAGCTGGGGCAGGTGCGGACTTTGCCTTTGCTGCTGCCTTGGCCTTGGGCGCACCCTTTGCCTTTGCTGCTGCCTTGGCTTTGCTCTGTTTGCTCTTGTTCTTGGGCGAAGCTTTTGCCTTTGCAGCCCGCTTTGGGGCCTTTGCTGCTTTCTTCGGGGTGGGCTGGGGCAAGTCACTGCCTGCAGTAGCATGCACAGAGCAGGAATCACTCCCAACAGATTCTTCCAACTCCGGTTGCAATGCTCTGCGGACACCCTTGCGGCTCTTTGGTTTGGATTCTCCCTTTCCACGTCCCTTCCTTCCCTTTCCTTTGCCTTTTCCTTTGCCTCGTCCCTTCCCACGTCCACGGCCCCTCCCACGGCTCCCACGCCCATCCTCCTGATCCTCCTGTGGCGCCCACCGCAAAGCATCTTGCTCTGCTCGTCGAAGATATTTGTTCTCCAACTCGTCCAGGATGTGGTGTTCCTGGGGCGTGGTCTTGGTTTCTGGCTGGGACATCTCAACCTCTGGGACCTTTTCATTTTTACCTTGGTAGTCTGGCTGGGTTTCGTGCTGGGACATCTCAACCTCTGGGACCTTGTCATTTTCATCTTGGTAGTCTGGCCGGGTTTTGTGCTGGGACATCTCAACCTCTGGGACCTTGTCATTTTCATCTTGGTGGTCTGGCTGGGTTTCGGGCTGGGACATCTCAACCTCTGGAACCTTGTCACTTTCATCTTGGTAGTCTGGCCGGGTTTCGGGCTGGGACATCTCAACCTCTGGGACCTTGTCATTTTCATCTTGGTGGTCTGGCTGGGTTTCGGGCTGGGACATCTCAACCTCTGGGACCTTGTCATTTTCATCTTGGTGGTCTGGCTGGGTTTCGGGCTGGGACATCGGGACCTCTGGTTCATCTAGGCCGTCTAGCTGTGTGTCTGGCACGGTCATCTCCTCGGGTGCTGGCTTTGAAACTGGCCATGGTGACCACGGGCTCCCTGGGGTCAAGGTATCAGGTAATTCCAGCTCTGTTGGGCTTACCGGTTCTGACTTGTTCTCCTCAGCATGAGACTTCATGGGTGATCCTGGGTGCTCCCCATCCTCTTCCTCCGATTCCTCCCCCAAAACCAAAGTCTTGGCCTTCAGCAGTTTGTCCTTCTGAGCATCTTCTTCATCCTGCCCCTCCTTACCTGTTTCCTTGCCAACCCCACCATCTTTCTCACAAGCTTCACCAGCTTCCGCGGGCTGAGAAGGGGATGGGCTACCGGGCTGGGAGTCAGGCAGGTGGGCATATTCATCTTGGGAATCCTGCACTTCCACTTCCAGAAGTGGACGTGAGGAGGCACGAGGGATCGCAGCCTCGGCTGTATCAGGTACTAGTGGAAAAACATCATGGCACAAAATTCTAAATCATAACATATCACAGAACAACATATCATACTAAATCATACCATATCATAGTATAAGTCGAAATTGAAACACATAAGGT